CCTGTTTCCTGAGATGGGATTGGGGAGAGCGGGTGGCTGGGGTGGGGGGCAGGGGTCTAACATGGGAAGGTGGGCGCCTTTTGACGGCCGGGGGGAGGTGCAGAGGCCAGCTGGCCGTGAGCCTGCAGCTGGGGTGAGCTCGGCTGGGGAAGACACCCAGAAGGTGCTATTTTTTTAAATATATTTTTATTGATCTCAGAGAGGAAGGGAGAGGGAGAGACAGAAACATCAGTGATGAGAGAGAATCTTGGATCGGCTGCCTCCTGCTCGCCCCACACTGGGCATCGAGCCTGCAACCCGGGGATGTGCCCTGAGTGGGAGTCAAACCGTGACCTCCTGGTTCCTAGGTCGAAGCTCGGCCACGGAGCCAGGCCGGCGGCTGGAAGGTGCTATTTGAAGCCACGGAGCCGAGTGAAATCACCCAGGGCCCGAGGACAGAAGCAAAGGCCCGTCCCTGCAGCAGGTCGGCGGGAGGAGGGCGCTGAGCTGCAGGGGAAGAACCAGGAGCCCCGCAGGTCCCGGCACTGAGGCCGCGGCCCAGGCTCTGGTGTAGCTGCTTTGACCACGTGCCAGGAAGGCAGGGCTGTCCGAGTGGGTTCGGGAGCACACGGGAGGGTCCGAGCGGACTCGGGAGCTCACGGGAGGGTCCGAGCGGGCTCGGGAGCTCACGGGAGGGCCCGAGCGGGCTCGGGAGCTCACGGGAGGGCCCGAGCGGGCTCGGGAGCTCACGGGAGGGCCCGAGCGGGCTCGGGAGCTCACGGGAGGGCCCGAGCGGGCTCGGGAGCTCACGGGAGGGCCCGAGCGGGCTCGGGAGCTCACGGGAGGGCCCGAGCGGGCTCGGGAGCTCACGGGAGGGCCCGAGCGGGCTCGGGAGCTCACGGGAGGGCCCGAGCGGGCTCGGGAGCTCACGGGAGGGCCCGAGCGGGCTCGGGAGCTCACGGGAGGGCCCGAGCGGGCTCGGGAGCTCACGGGAGGGCCCGAGCGGGCTCGGGAGCTCACGGGAGGGCCCGAGCGGGCTCGGGAGCTCACGGGAGGGCCCGAGCGGGCTCGGGAGCTCACGGGAGGGCCCGAGCGGGCTCGGGAGCTCACGGGAGGGCCCGAGCGGGCTCGGGAGCTCACGGGAGGGCCCGAGCGGGCTCGGGAGCTCACGGGAGGGCCCGAGCGGGCTCGGGAGCTCACGGGAGGGCCCGAGCGGGCTCGGGAGCTCACGGGAGGGCCCGAGCGGGCTCGGGAGCTCACGGGAGGGCCCGAGCGGGCTCGGGAGCTCACGGGAGGGCCCGAGCGGGCTCGGGAGCTCACGGGAGGGCCCGAGCGGGCTCGGGAGCTCACGGGAGGGCCCGAGCGGGCTCGGGAGCTCACGGGAGGGCCCGAGCGGGCTCGGGAGCTCACGGGAGGGCCCGAGCGGGCTCGGGAGCTCACGGGAGGGCCCGAGCGGGCTCGGGAGCTCACGGGAGGGCCCGAGCGGGCTCGGGAGCTCACGGGAGGGCCCGAGCGGGCTCGGGAGCTCACGGGAGGGCCCGAGCGGGCTCGGGAGCTCACGGGAGGGCCCGAGCGGGCTCGGGAGCTCACGGGAGGGCCCGAGCGGGCTCGGGAGCTCACGGGAGGGCCCGAGCGGGCTCGGGAGCTCACGGGAGGGCCCGAGCGGGCTCGGGAGCTCACGGGAGGGCCCGAGCGGGCTCGGGAGCTCACGGGAGGGCCCGAGCGGGCTCGGGAGCTCACGGGAGGGCCCGAGCGGGCTCGGGAGCTCACGGGAGGGCCCGAGCGGGCTCGGGAGCTCACGGGAGGGCCCGAGCGGGCTCGGGAGCTCACGGGAGGGCCCGAGCGGGCTCGGGAGCACACGGGAGGGTCCGAGCGGACTCGGGAGCACACGGGAGGGTCCGAGTGGGCTCGGGAGCACACGGGACCGAGCGAGTGGGAGGCAGGGGGTCCACAACCTTTCGGGGAGTGTGGCCACCAGCGGGGAGCAGGGAAATCGGGGAGCTGAAGGGAAGTGGGGTCAAGGGGCAG